GAGGCTGAGCCAGAAGAGCCCCTACCGTTCTTAAGAGACTGGCAGCCCCAGGGTACGTCTGCCAGTCCGAGCTCTGCTCTCTGCAAGGGGCTGGCCTGGCACCTGGGGGAAGCTATAAGAAAGTCTGCAGGCCTCCCGGGGGTGGGGGGTGGGAGGATGTGAAGTAGCACTGCCCGAGTGTTGTGCAGAAATTGGCAGGTGGTTCTAAATTCACATGGAAACGCATGGAACTCAGAATGGCAGAAACAACCCTGAGAAGGAACAAAGTTGGAGGACTCAGACTTCTGACCTCAAACTGCTGCCAAGCTACAGTACGCAAGATAACGTGGTCCTGGATAAGGACAGCCATGTAGATCTTTTCTTTTTTAAATGATCAGAGAGGGCATGTGCACTTACCAGAGAGAGACAGAGACACAGAGAGGACGGAGGGGCAGAAAGCACCCCCAAAGAGGCATGGTCGCACTGCAATCCCTTCTTCTCCATTTTTCCATCCTGGCAGGATTTGGCACATGCACACATGTGTACCCAGAGTGATTTTCAAGTTGCTGGGGCCAGGATTTAAACTGTGTGGCTGGTCGTGTGGGATCTGGCTTCCTTACCCACAAGGCCATGGGATTGGGTCATCCATATAGCTCAATAGACTAGAAGAGCAAGTCCAGAAATAAACCCATACATTTACGGTCATTGATTTCAACGTGGGTATCAAGGCCAGGCAATAGGGAAGGACAGAATGTAAATGAATGCCACTGAAACACTGCCACATGCAAAAGAGCGAAGGTGAGGCCGGCCCACGGCGTAGCGGTGAAGGCGGCTGATCCCACGTGGCCGGCAGTGAAATCTGACACCCAGCGGTGAAGGCGGCTGATCCCACATGGCCGACAGTGAAATCAGACACCCAGCAGTGAAGGCGGCTGATCCCACATGGCCGACAGTGAAATCTGACACCCAGCGGTGAAGGCGGCTGATTCCACATGGCCGGCAGTGAAATCTGACACCCAGCGGTGAAGGCGGCTGATTCCACATGGCCGGCAGTGAAATCTAGTCTGACGCCGAGCCGTGAAGGCGGCTGGATCCCACATGGCCGGCAGTGAAATCTGACACCCAGCGGTGAAGGCGGCTGGATCCCACATGGCCGACAGTGAAATTTGACGCCCAGACCCAGAGACTTGAATCAGTGCCGGGGCGGGTGCATGCGTGCTCCAAATTCCGAAAGGAGGAAGAAATGAATGAAGAAGGGACTGCACTGTGGCCACGCCCCATGGGGGAGTGCTTTCTCACTTTCCCACTCTGTTTTCCTGTCTCTCCAGTGAGCGCATGCACACTTTGACATAAATTTTAAAAAAGAAAAAAGTGAAGCTGGACCTCCATCTTATCCTGTATCCACAAATGAACTCCAAGTGGATCACAGACCTTACAGTGAGAGCAAAATTATAAATTTTTTTTTTTTGGAGAGGTTTTTGCTATAGGGCGCGCGCGCTCGCCAGACAGAGAGAGACATAGAGATAGAAAGCGAGAAATCACCGCCCAGGGGGGATGGCCACACCACAATCCCTTCTCCTCCATTCTCCTCTCGGGATCTTGGGCATGCACGCACATGCGCCCGGCGTGAGTTTTAAGCCACCGGGTCCGGGATGTGAACCGCGGTCGACTACGTGGGAGTCCAGTGACATAGCCATTACGCTAACTGCTGGTTCCAAAATTACAAAATTTAACAGAAAACTTGGGTGTACATCTTTGTGACCTTGGACGAGGCAGTACTTTCCCAAAGCAACAAAAGAAAAAATAGGCGGGGCCAGCAGGTGGCCGAGTGGTTAAGGGTGCTGGACTCCCACATGGCTGACTGCAGCTCAAGTCCAACCTGGTGGCTTGCTTTCTCTCTCTCTTCCTTCCTCTCTCTTGCTGTGTCCCTCTCTGATCAAATTAAAATAAATAAATAAATAAATAAATCTTTTTTAAAAAAGGAAAAAATGTGCAAATTGGGCTTCATAAAAATGAACGACTTTTGTGCTATAAAGGTCATTGTCAAAAAAGAGAAAGTATTTGCAAATTCTATGTCTAATAATGGGCTAGCACCCAGGACAAATAAATTCAGCAATAAAAAGACAAAAAGCTCAATTTAAAAATGACCAAAGGGGGACCAGCAGATGGCGTAACCGTTACATCGCTGGACTCCCATGTAGTTGACCATGGTTCAAGTCCCGGGAGTGGCAGCTTAAAACTCAGCCCAGGCGCTTGTGCGCATGCATCCAAACTCCCAAGAGGAGAATGGAGAAGAAGGGATTGCAGTGTGACCACCCCCCCAGGGAGTGATTTCTCGCTTTCTGTCTCTCTGTCTCTCTGGTGACTGCATGGGCCCTATAGCAAAAATCTCTCAAAAAAAAAAAAATGGGGAAAGGATGAAGAGAAGATACACAGGGCTGGCCCCACAGCCTAATTAGTGGTTAAGGGGGCTGGATCCCACATGGCTGTCCATGTGTTGGATCCTGGTGCTGGTGGCCAGAAAAACATGGGGCACACGTGCATGTGTGCACAAATCCTGGTGAGATGGAACAAGGGAAGAAAGGGGATTGCAATGTGACCGCACCCCACTGGGGGCGGGGTGCTTTCTCTACCTCTCCCCACCCCTGAACTCTATGCCTATCTCGGGTGCACACACAAACCCTCTGGCAATTCAATAAATAAATAAAGACATACAGATGGCCAATCTAGTCATCAGGGAAATGCAAATCAAAACCACAGGTGTTATTTCTTCACACCCATTTGTACGGCTGGATTTGAAAAGTGGGTAATGGTAAGTGCTGAGGAGAATGCAGAGAAATGGGAACCCTCCTATATCGCTGGGAGAATATAAAATAGTGCAGCCACTTTGGAGAAGTTTGATGGTTCCTGAAAAAGTTTAATGTAGAGTTGCCATAACATTTCTGCTTGTAAGAGTAGGAATACCCAAGAGAAATGAAAACCTATGGTCACACCAAAGCAGGTGTGTGAATGTTCATTGTAGCACTGTCATAAGGGCCAAAAAGTAGAACAACCCAAACGCCCAGCAGTTGATGAAGAAATAAACAAGATGTGAAACAGCCATGCAATGGAATATCATTTAGCTGTATTTAAAAAAAACAAAACAATGGGGGGTGGTGAACAGCAAATGGCATAGTGGTTACATTGCTGGACTCCTATGTGGCAGACCACGTGGTTTGAGTCCTGGACCCATTGGCTTGAAACTCATGCCAGGCACATGTGCATGCGTGCCCAAGATTATGGGATGAGAATGAAGAAGGGATTATGGTGTGGCCATCCCCCGCAGGGATGATTTCTCACTTTCCCTCTCACTGTCTCTGTCTCTCTCTCTGGTGAGCACACGCACCTTAAGGCAAAAATCTCTAAAAAGAAATAAAAGGAAAAAAGGAAAGGTCACATATTATATGACTCCATTTATATAAAATGTCTAGAAGAGGCGAATTCATAGGCTCGAAGGAGATTAGTGGTTGCCAGGGGCTGGGGAGGAAGGGTAAGAATGGCTGCTTCCGTGTAGCTTTCCTGGGAAGGGGACAGTGAAGACGTTCCAGAATTAGATGATGGCGATGGCTGCGTAACCTTGTGACCACACTACAGACCACTGAGCTGCACACTGAAAAAGGGTGAGTTCTGGGGCCAGCAGGTAGGGTGGTGGTTAACACGCCGGACCCCATAAGACTGACTCTGTGGTCTGAATCTCGGATCTGGTGGCTTGAAAATCACACTGGGCACTTGTGACGTGCGTACTTGCCCAAAATCCCGAGAGGAGAATGGAGGAAGGATTGCAGTGTGGCCATCCCACCCCACCCCCACCCCGAGATGATTTCTCACTTTCTCTCTGTATCTCTCTGAGAAGCGCACATACCCTATGGCAAAATCTTAAAAAAAAAAAAAAAAAAAAGAGGGGGGGTTGAATTTTAAGGTGTATGAATTTTATCTCCACAAATATTTTTAGAATTAGCAGTCTGAAATTCTAAAGCTCTTGATGACTTACCATAAATGCTTCAACGTCTGGTTGACCTTCAACATTTCCGCCAAGCTCTCTGCCACCTCATCGTCAAGTTCATTTTTGGTCAGCCTAGAAGAGAGAGCAGCGTTTTCTCAGGAGCCCCCCTGCAGGTACTGTGCTCCCTGCCTGGCCTCTCCAGTTACACAGCTGATCCCATCACCTGCTGAGAACGCAGCAGACAGCCAGGTCTCATGCCCACAGACACACAGAGAGCTCATTCCTAGTGCAAGTCCAGTACCCAAACTCCAATTTTTTTAACCTTGCTGCCTGTAGGGAAGCCCAGCACCCTCCTGGCCCTTGCTCAGCCTCAGGTTTCACAGAAGATAGGAGCACAGAAAACACGGGCCAGTGCCTGCCTCCCAGGTCTTCCTTGCCCCAAGACCCCTTGACCACAGATTGCCAGCGTGTTGTGCAAGTCAGAAAAGCCTGTCAAGTGCAGGCAAGATTCCAGCTAGTGCTGTCTGAGATCAGTTGTGGGGAGCCCGAGTTCAGAGGCTGAAAGTTCAGGAAGCCTCTCAGTTGTCCTTAAAACCAGAAGTGGTCTGGCAGACACAGAAGCTCCAGGGTGAAGATAGACACTGTCATGTCAGTGTCTGAAAGATAATGAGAAAGAACAGAATGGAAAAACATTAAAAAAAAAAAAAAAAAGCATTCCTGGGGGCCAATGGATGGCATGGCGGTTAAGGCGCTGGGCTCCACGTGCTCAACCATGGTTTGAGTCCCAGACCTGGTGGCTTGAAAATCACACTGGGTGCGTGTACATGCGTAACCAAAATCCCAGGAGGAGAGTGGAGGAAAAGATATTGTGGTATGGTCATACCTACTGGGGGCTGATTTATCACCTTCTCTCTCTCTCGTGAGTGCACTTGCCCTAGGGCAAGAAACCAGAAAAATTATCCCTTGAAGGACAATTTGGTAGTGCCTATACACATTTTGAATGTGTTTCTCTTTAAGGCAATGGTTAGACTTCTAGAACTTTACCCTACAATGAGCACAGATGTGCAAAGGACTTAGCCTTTGCAGCGCACACTGTGGTATTGTCATAATGTAACATCTGAGCAAACAAACATCTATCTTTGAGAGGACTGATAAAATAAACGATGAACACTGGGTATTCAACGGGTGTTGTGCAGCCCCGGAGAGAATGAGTGCAAAGAAAAGGCAGGTCACTGTGTCACTAGGAGCGTTCCAGAGTGAGATATGCAGGTGTGTATCACTTATTAGCAGAGCGGCTTAACTTCTCTGGGGCTGAGTTTTCTCACTGGGAAGTGTGAACAGCGACAGAACAGACCTTACAGTGTGGTTGTAAGGAGGAGAAAATTAGCACGGGTCACAGGTTTACAGTAATACGGGGAGTAGGGGTGACTTTAAAAAGTTCCTGAAACATTTGTATTATAAAGAAAACTATGCATAGATTACAAATGTTTTTTTGGCCAAAATAAACTTGTAATATGAACTCTCTTTTCCCATGAACTTTTGAAGTCCCCTCATTTGTGACCATCAAGAAATTCTGTGTGTTGACATTATTACTATTCACGTAGAGCAGTGGAGTGAGACTGAGGTAGCTGCACTTTCCATGAGACCTAGTAATGTCTAGAGACGCATTTAATTGTCTCAGTTGTGGGGCACTGCTGGGTTGTAACGGGGACAGGCCAGGGAGGCTGCTGTCACATTGCACAGGACAGCCTGCACAACAAAAAAAACCTGTCTGGACCCCAGTGGCAACAATGTCAAGATTGAGAATCTCCAACATAAGGGACGTGTCAAATGTTTACAATATACGGTGGAGATGGGACTTTTTTGGTTAAGATATCTTTTAATGCTATTGCTAAATGCTATTCTGCCTACATCTAGATATCTAGAAACACATAGGAAAAGGCTAGAAGGAAAGCTTATATTTGGAAGTTATTTTCACTGTTTTCAAACTTCAGTGTCTTACTTTTTTTTTTTTTTTTAAAGAAAGCATTTACTCTTTTTCAACTTAAAGACCTTTTTTGAGGTTAGCCAGTGGTGTGGTGGTTAAGGTGGCTGGATCCCACATGGCCAACTGTGTGGTTTGAGTCCCAGAACCAGTGGCTTTAAAAAGCATGCCAGGTTCACATGCATGCATGCATGCTCAAAATCCTGAGGGGAGAAGGGACTGTGGCACAGCCATCCGCCCCCGGGGGGGTGGGGGTGGGGGGTGGGAGGGTGATTGCTCACTCCCCTCTCTGTCTTTCTCTCTCTGTCTCTCTGGCAAGCACACATGCCCTGTGGAAAAAATTAAAAAGAAAGATTTTTTTGAGAACAAAGAATGAAAAAGCATGTCTTGGTCAGCACGTCCAATATCAGAACTCTCATCAAAACGACAGTGGCATTCTCTTCTTAACTCATTTAGCCAAATCCACTGAGCCCTGAGCTGCAAGTCGAGCAGACAGAGTACAATACAACATCCTCCCTCTAAAGGAATCTGCAATGCAGGCAGGTAAATAAAACACACATACAGAAAAGTAAAAGATTAAATGGCCAAAAAATAAAAAATAAATAAATAAATAAAAAAGGCTAACAGCAAAAAAACCATCAGAGGCCACATTCATTCACTAAGTGCCTTGGACGGCAGGGTGTGAGGGGCAGGAGCCAGGGAGCTGGGGTGCGAAGACCAAACGCTGACACGGAGGCCTGGAGAGGCAGGAGGCTGTGCGGGGGAAGGTGGCTGAGGAGGAGGAAGGGCGAAAATGTCACCCGAGGCCATCAAGTTATTCTCTGCCAAGCCCATCTGAGTGTGTCTCGAGGACACTGCTGACAGTCCAGTAGCAGCTTCCTGGTTCTCCTGAGGCCTATGGTGGCAAAGGAGGACGGGCCCCAAAGCCATGCTCCTGGGGCCCACTTCCCCTTCAGCATCTGTTTGTGCTTCTGGAGAAGACTACTTGTTTCTCACAGGAAATTAAATGGTCAGCCTGACGCTGGAAGGCCTGGGGCCTTTCCAATCCACAGACACTTCTTCCACTCCAATTGCAGGCCTGGAATAATTCCCGAGACCCGACCCTTCCAAACGACGCTGGCTGTTACCAGAAGATCCGCAGAGACGCGTTCCACTGCAGGGCCTGTGCCAGGCTCTTCCCTCCTTCTGTGGAGATGCCGTTGTATGCGAGACTAGGGAGGAGAACACTTGGGATGGATTATTAGAGACAGGGCCACGCTGGGCTTTAACCGAACAGCAGGAAGGGCAGTGCCCAGGCCTTGCTGCCCCAGAGACCACACTCAGAACTGCTCACGGAGAGGCTGGGCTGCCAGGGAACCTCAGCACGCCTGCTCCCACAGCTGTGCACTGGGGGCTGTCCTTACAGGAAGCTGAGGCCTGGCTGCTCTGCTGCCACCCACTGATGTGTTCAAGGTGCCCCATCAACAAGCCTTGGAAACGC